CTGTAGAGCTGCTCTCCATGGGTTTACCAGACTCATCACAGCCCATAACAATAGTGATAGTGGAAGTTATGATGGCGATACGATGGCTGGAAGCTCACGTAAGAGAGAACAATAGACAGGAAGCGCCGACGAGAGAACAGTTGCGGAAACTAGATTGTCTAAAAAATTTAGATCTTTTTGAGACAATGTGCAAAAATCTAAAGATTCCGATGGAAGTGAAGAAGATATGGGCAAGAGAACGATTGATGCCATGGTTCAGAGCTAACATGACTGCATGGTTGTACGAATATGCTAAGAAGCATATGTCGAAGCACGGCAGAGTATACAGTGAATATCAGCTGGACATTGGAGCAGGAGCTTTAAAGCGAGCTCTCGTGACTCATCGGAATGCAGTGTCCACCGCTGTGAAAAGGATTTCCAGGACAAGTGAACGTAGTGGAAAGAAGAAGATAGAGATGTTGAAGGAAGATTTGGAGAGAAATGTGACGTTGTGTCTCCACAACAGCTTCTGCAGGAACAGAGAATCTAACGTGGATCCCCTACCTTGTTGCAAACAGAGGGTAGAAGAGCAGAAGTGTTGGAGGACGGCTTCCAACGGCGTCAGGATAGCTAATGACGTGTTGCAGGATACAGAAACTGAGAGTGCAGAGTCAGTGTCACAGGAGGAGGAAATGGAACATTGACGAGTGGCCGAAAAACGAGATGCAAAAAGAGACGAAATTAGAAGAATTTAGAAGTTTTAGAACTTCTAAAACACGAAAAAAGAAGAAAACAAAAGAGTGGTGAAGAAAAAGTTAAAACTCAGAATTGTTTTATGTGTGTGAAAAGACTCAAGTGAGAAACTAGGCAACCAAGTTGTAATTGAAAACTGAAAAATTTAGTTGAGTTTTGAAATTGATGCATTTATAAATTTGCACTTTGATTTTAGTTAAGTGGCTTTAGAGACACTTACTTACTATTTATTTAGAAAGGCTTGAGTGAAAGAGTATATTTAAATATTCCAGCCTGTATGATTTTTTTAAATCAGCTAGGAGAACTGATCACTTTGTGGTGACATGAAAGGCTTGGGTAATCTCTCGAAGAGGGAGATTGTTTCATTGTTCTTTCTAACCTCAAAGTTTCTTACTTTTAATATTCAGGACAATAACAAGCGAGATTTCCGAAGGGAAGAAACATAGTAGGATAATTTTAGCTTGTTGGTTGGCAGGACTGTCCTGCAAACCAACACCTTTTAAATCTAGAAGAAAAAGTTTTAATCAGGACGTTGACATTAGAAATCGGAAAATATGTTTTTATCTTAGGTCATATCCTCAATGTGCAGATTAATGAAAGAATTTGAAGGCTATAGTGATGTAGTATGATGCCATTTATATTCTGCTGTGAGTCGATGTGACGTGGATAAAAGTAATTTCGTGCATTTTGTAAATTCTGTTCGATGACACTGTACCTATTATACGAACATTGCGAGATTCAATGAGGACATTGACCGGACTGTCCGGGGAGTATGTGACATTCGACCAGAATGGATCAAAATGCAGATTCAGCATATTCGAAATTTTAGCAGTGAACCTTCCGAATTGGCAATTTTGAAGGAATAAGAGTGTTGTTCGAACGATTGGACAATTCGGGAAGGCCGAAGGATTTGGGAAGTCCTAAATTTTAAACATTCGAATTAATGACGTAACAATTCTAAGAAACGTCAAAAACGACCATTTTAGAAAAAAAACCGAAACGAAACACAACAACGATAGTTGCGCCGACGACAACAACGAGAAAATTGAGAATCGGAATCAGAGAAAAGCAGAAGCAGCAGAGACCGCTCCAAGTTGCAACTGTTGTGTCGCTACAATAGTTGCAAGGCAGTTGCTAACAACAGTGAGGGGTGGAAACCAGCCTTCCGGGTTACAGAGAAATCAAGCTTAACGTGCTTGATTCAGTGGATTCGAGAATCAGGAAGGGTTTCGGGACTGAAACTTTTATCATCTTATATGAATTTTTAGCTTCCTGTTTAGTAGTAGCCCTGTTTTTAGGAGTGACCTCGTGGTCTGGGGATACTGAGACCCAGCCATGAGCTCACTATTTTTGCATGTAATTATTTAATTTGAGTGTTTTGACCGAAGCCGAAAGCAGTATCGTTTTTGTCGACCCGATGTTAGAAAGACCACTAAAAGTACTGGCTTGGTAGAGACGGTGAAAAGCATGCAAAACTCTGTTTAGACGGTAGCCAGTCGTCTTAGGACTTAGTTTTGTTCTCCGTTGATATATATCTTCCGGGCGAATGTTACACAACTGATCGCTGGAAATTTAAATTGGATCATCAAGCCTCAGAAAGATATTAAAGTATGGATCAGTCTGCGCCATTTCCTTTTGTCAGTCGATGTATATTGTTATTCCAACCCCTCGAAAAGAGTTGCAAGGAGTTAGTGTTGGATGGATTTATGCGTGTCCTTAGGGACCTAAAAGAAAACTCGTACGCGTCAAGTGTACAATCATTTTGAATCCTTCTCAGCTTCTCAGATTCCAAATAAGTTCTCAAAATGTCGATAAGAAAGCTGTCTGCATTACTTTGGTTTTTGAACAAATTTAGGGTGGCATGTCACGGAGCCGAATACCTGGATAGCCGAAAACGAAATCTGGATAGCCGGACAGCATATAAGGCAGTGTGGTAGTGAGCGTGGTAAGTCTGAGTTTAATTGGAAAATAATCGACCAGGCGTCCAGCAGCATCAAGTTACTTACATTTGAAGCGCTGCACATTAGGAAAGAGAGACCGGCAATTCACACGCGCGACGAGTTTAGAAGTAGGGAGCTGACACTAAGGCTATATTGTTATTACATTGTTTCTCCATTACGTTGATGATATAGTGAGAACAGTGAAGGGTGATCCTGAAAAAGTTCTACGGGCTGCAAACTTACTACATCCAAATTTACAGTTCACAATAGAAACACCAAACACAAACGGAACTTTGGAATTTTTAGATTTACAAATTAGTATTGACAAAAGCAGAAAAATTAGCTGTGGGTGGTATCAAAAACCAACAGATACAGGTACCATACTCAATTTTAGAAGCTGCGCCCCCCTTCAGTACAAGAGAAGTGTGATTCAAGGAACTGTTCGCCGAGTTTTCCGCAGTACGTCAACATGGGAAGAATATGATAAAGCCATGAAAATCAACCGTGAGCAGTGGTTGGATAACCAATATCCGGAAAGTTGGTCGTCGCGGGTTGCATCCCATGCCCTTGAAAAAATCATCAGCGAGGGCAAAAACAAAAAGAACATGGCTGAGAAAAAGAAGCCCTGTGATTAAAGCAGTGATTCACCACCCATCTTGATGGTCCAATATAGGGGATATCACAGTCAGACATAAGCAAAAAAAGTGCGCGATATCACCAATGCGCTGATAATATTCACGACGAGGAAATTGAAAACTTGTATGCCCTCTCTAAAATCCTCCTTTTCCAGTGAACTGAAATCAAAAGTGGTGTACAGACTTGAATGTTGTGGGTGCAAATCCATCTATGTTGGCCAGACGGTCCAACATCTCACCACAAGGATTGAGGAACACCGAAAAGAGGAAACCCCAGTTGGACAGCATATAAGGCAGTGTGGTAGTGAGCCTGGTAAGTCTGAGTTTAATTGAAAAATAATCGACCAGGCGTCCAGCAGCATCAAGTTACTTACATTAGAGGCGCTGCACATTAGGAAAGAGACCGGCAATTAACACGCGCGACGAGTTTAGAAGTAGGGAGCTGACACTAAGGCTATAGTTCCAGAATCGAAAAATTCTGGCTGAAACAACAAAATTTTGAAACAACTTACATGTTGGCATAAAAATTAGCCACAAAACGAAAATAAAAATGAAGAAAACTCGCAGAAATTTGTGACAAAATGGTTTGAAATGTTACATAATAGTTGTTACATAATTTCAGTGATATTTGTAAAGTTTTGATTGGTTGAATTTTTAAAATTTTGAAATAAAGATGTGTGTGACACTTTTTATGATCTTTGATCATTTTGTACAGATAGTTTAGAAATTTTAAAACCTGAAGATGCACAAAATGTGCGAAAACGTTTGTTTGAATTTACAATTTTAACGCATTCTCAAAAGAAAATAAAATCGTTCCCGGATAGCCGAAAAAGAAATTCGTTCCGGATAGCCGAAATCTTTTTTGTTTCAGGTAGCCAAAACGATTGGATTCGATCTACACCAAAAGTTATTCGCTCAAAATATGAAATAAATTTAATGAATATAGCTTTTTCTCATTATAGCCCCCATCCCAAGTAATTTATAGACCCTCAGAATAGAAAAAAAATTAATGATGAGGGAAAGGATTGCTTTAAAAATAAGGAAAATATCCAGCGCCTGCTCCCTGTCATCTCAATACACTTATTTAATTTTGCTCTCAACTACATTTACTGTTCCCTGATAATCAAAAATAAATTTTTGTTGGATAACAGGAAAAAAAAATGTTCCTGGATAGCCAGAGAAATATTGCGTTATCGAAGTAGTCGCACTTTAATTGCTTTATAGCTTTATTAATTGCATTTAATGCTGATTTATGACTTCATTGCTGATATATATGCATTTTTATATCGCTGGTATGGCCCTATCCAGCCTGTGCACTTACCGTAACTAAACGGAAGGGCCCCTTTTATTGCTTTATAATGTTTCTTGAGTCTATTAGATTTTTTTGTTAGCTAAGTTCCGAAAAAAAAGATAATATAAGCGTTCGAATGAAAGTGGTCCAAATTTTGTGACGAATTTGTCTTTTTAGTCAATTATTGTTTTTAGTTTTTTTCGGGAATCCGGCTCTGTGGGTATGTACCAAATTTAGAGACTAGACTAAGAACAAACTCCAGTAAAAGACAAAAGTTTCGTTTTACACATTAACTAACCAGTTGTTTACTAGTTCGAAATTTAGTTTGCGCCGACTCACCGCCAACCATTGCTTCAATGATTGTTTGTTATAGAGGTTTTTTTTAAATGACACTGTTTTCCAGAATGATGATGTCTTCATGATTAGAGAAATCTTATAATGAGTGTTGATAATCCATATAATCGGGTGTGCTGCATCGACAAATACTATCACCTGTTTGTACTTTTTCGTTGTTATTTGCGAACGTATATGTTTGGCTAACAATTTTCATCGTTTTCCTTTCTAGTTATTTATCAAAGTTTCTGAGGAAAGCATTCAAAGACAGGAATATTCCCACGGAAGATTTCTACGCAGTTCCGATTGTCGACAAGGTAGAAAACATATACCCGATATATGAAAGGTTTGTAATTGCTCTAAGATTCAAGATCCAGGTTCAAAGATGAGAGTATGATGCTCTCCGTCATCTTCATAAGCTTAAAAAATTTATCACTTCCGTTTTAGTCAAATAATTTCTGAAATGATATGAGTTTGTACAATTGCGACTAGCAAGCGTTACCAAATCAGAATATTAACTTTTTCAAGTTTTAAAAAAATGTTCAACAAAATTACTTGAATCTTTTGAAAGCTTAGTTTTGTAGTATTGGTATTTTGGCGTTTTTCAAAAACAAGTTTTGGACTTAGTGGCTTTTTCCTTTTCTGACTGCTAGCTTGCAATGCTATTGTTTTGAGATGTCGCACGTAGCGCGAAGCACTGCGTCGTCTCTGCGTTTACGCTTGCTACTACCAGGCGTTAGCAAATTGGATCATATACTTTTTTCAGGATAGCAACTTGTTAAATCAATTCAAATTCGTTAGCTTCTCCGTCCTTGATAACGACCACGCATAAGTGTTGTCGAGCTATGGTCTTTCTGTCTACGTATTGTCGGATTAGTTGCCGCATCACAGAATTTTTTGTGCCGCAATTTCATTATTTTTTGCCGCATAAAGAATATCAGATTTTGATAGCTTAGCTTTTTGGTGAAAGCAACTTTGGTTGCGCTCGATCGTCTTTGATTGCGCTCGATAATTGTTACTTAATGCCCATTAAAAACCTGAGATTGCGTTACATAATGTGCTTTCCTCAGATAGAAAACCATTCTAAACTGGTACCAGAAATTTTCGTAATATGTGATGATATAGAGGCATTTTTTGAGTCGTATGAGGCGCAAACAATTTGATCTAAATTTTTTGATGGAGTTTTTTTTTTCGGCGCAATGTGTCTGCTCAACAGTTGTTAACTTTGTTATACTATTGTTAATTTTATTTCAATGCTTATTTAACATTCAATTGTTTTCTTTCTTGACATAATTTCATGAAAAAAGTTTCTATTTGAGACAAAATCAAGACAAATGTAGGAAATTTTTAGGTAGGTCAATTTTTTCGATTTTTTTTCTAAGGTTTTCATCTCTAAATTTGTCGGTTATTCTGTCATGCTATGTATAGGATTTTATCATAAGAAGTGCGATGCTTCGTTTCGCCTCGCTTTGTTAAATTTCTAAAAAAGGAGGTGATTCAGTTCCAAGATTTCGGATTTTTTTTGCACCTTTTAGTTTGTTGAAAAAAAGTTTTTTTTTCAATTAGTTGATTCATCTGCGAATAGCGAACAAGTTAAACGAAGATTAGTGAATTAATTTTTTGTCTCTTCTGTGGCACACTTGGTAGGGATGTTACAAATGCGCCTGGGAGAGCAAAATTTCTCGGTTTGAATCTGATCAGGACCTGTTTCTCTTTACGGAAAATATTCCGTTTCAAAAAAGTTTGTCGGCCTTTTATTTGTCTGCTGATGTTTTGTCGGCTTAGTTGCCATATCTTTGAGAAATTTTTGTTGTACGTGATTTTCGTTATATTTGCTGTTTGTTTTGGCTTTCTCATGCAATTTGTACAGTTATTAGCCTTGAAGTATATTATCCTTTTTTTTTTCGTTTAAAAACTTTATCCGAATGATTTATACTCATGTTTTTTGACTTAGTGATGTGACCTTATTCTGGGTTGATCCAAGGTTTATTCTGAGTTTATAATTCAAAGTTTTTTTGTGTTAACAATTTCGTTTTCGGTCCTGGATTTTAATTTAAGTTTTGTCGGCTAAGTTGCCGACCAATAGCTGTTTTTGAATTTTAATTAAACGCTGCCGATTGTGTTTCTGGAATTTTCCACAAATAGAATATCACTTTTTGAGTTTTAAGAGTAATGAACGTAGTGAAGACTCTTATAGGTCTTGCTGATTTTTTTTCAGGAAAAAGTCTTAAAATATTGATGCACTTAGGTGTATATGCACTTTTTGAGTTCAATTGAAATTCATCTGCTGAAAGTGACGTAAATAGCTTTCTCCAAATACGAACGTGGAAATGGCGCAAAAATTCGTGAACAATTTTTAGTTTCGAAAGTGGACTTTCCAGCGGAATAAAAACTTTATCTGTTGATCCAGTTTTCTCAAGTTGGGTTAATATTATAAAAAAATAATATCATAAATCGTTCTTGAAATTCAAAGAGTTTAAAGGGTATCTATTTTTTTTCGTTGAATTTCGAAAGTTGAGATTTTTTCAACAAAGTCAGTGTTTTTCTATGTTTTCTTTCGTTGATTACTCTTTTTCAATCTTCGATTGGCTATTTTTTAAGTTGTGGTTTTTCGAATTTGTTTTTTGGATTTTGTGGCTTTTCCTTTCTTTTTTGCGAGCTTGCAATACTCTTTTATGCGACATACCTTGTGGTCCAAAGCTCCGCTTCGCCTCAGTGTATTAAATATATAGCTAATTCTTTAGATGTTTCAACAAGTATCGAGGAAAGAAGAACTCTGTCAAGAAGGCTTGTTGGCTGTTCGCAAGAAACTACATCATTCTAACATCATGTTGCATTTTGTTTGAGGTACGGTTTTCATTTTACCGCTGATAACTTGGTGAGTCGAGTTAGCCTTTTGTGCTGAACAAAATGTGACTAGATGTGGTTACCAAGTTGAACAAAAAGGTTTACCAAGTTTTATATCCGTAATCAGCGGTATGAGTTTCATGTAAGAAAAATGTTTGCCAACCCTTGGTCGCCATGTCAAATGATTTCTTCCGTGTAACTTCTGCAATGGTGTTTTTAAGAGTGAGGCGAACTTTTAAATGAGATTACCAGCTTTCAAAAAGCTAGCTGCTAGCTCATTTCAATGCGGAATTTAGTACAAGTAAATAAAAATTGGCATCAAATTTGTTAAGTTATATTGAAGGAAGTGAAGGCACTTCTTAAGGTGTTGCGGTTTTCAGGAAAAGTTCTTGAAATTTGATCAGCTCAAATGAACTTTTTGGTAGATGAATTTTGTTTCATTTTGAATTCATTTTACGCTCACCAATCATGAAAGCGAAAATGTTTTTTGTAATTTTCAGGATTCTTGAATTTCAAAGAGCTTTAACTTAATATATTTTAAATTATTTTAAGTTAAAATCAATCATTTTTTCGGTTTCTTTAGTTCATTGTTTTTTTTGCAATTTTCTGTTGGCTATTTTCTCAACCAACTGTTTTGCATTGTTTAGGCAGCAGTTGCCACTTGCGGTGCTTTTTTGTTGGGTGGACTGTTGAAAAGTCTGGTTGAGGTGGATGAGAACTACAGTGACGAAGCCATGCATAAGTTGTGGGGATACTTCAGTGGACTTTTGATCTGTACCTTCATCTACCCAGTAGTGCACCCTATCACGTTCTTCGCCATGTACCAGATATCATACAAGACAAGAGTGGTCTTAACCGTGCTTATATATAGGAAGGTGGGCTGACAAGAGATGTTTACAATATCAGGCCTCACTTTTTTGAGATGAAACCTTTCAAAGTATCGAACTTGATCTTACATATCAAGCGGACTGGCATCCATAAACTGGCTACAGTTAATCTTAAATAAGAAATGGAAAAGAATTCTGTTATTTTTTGGTAGTTTATAGTGTATCTACGTAGTTATGACATCACAAAACGAGTGACTTATTAGTGTTCCACAGAGGTCTAGAGATTTTGTAGTTTTTTTCTTCTAGCAAAAGGAAGAAATAAAATGCGAGTCCACAGCTTGTAAATATCACATTAGGTTTCAAGTTTTTCCTTAAATAATACAACATTAATGTCAATCCTTTGTTGAGGTTTCTGATATAGTAATTGTCTCTTGAGGAAAGGTGCTGGTGCTGAAGAACTACATGTTGAGTCAAACGAGTAGCGGGGAGGTGCTGAATATCATATCGACCGATTTGGGCAAAGTGGACTTCCTGGGCATTTTCCTCATTTTCTTCATAATCTTCCCCGTGTACTTCGTGGTCAAAGTTATTGCCTCCTACTTTGTAAGCAGAACTGAAACCGAATTTCATCAATAAAAGCTATTCATTTTCATAAAAATTTGCGCACATAATAATGTCAAAAATAGGTACAATTTTGGGCTAAAGCCGATCAAAATTATCCATTTCTTGTTCTGCCTTTCAAATAAATACTGTAGAAGTTGACAGAAATTTCATTTATATGATTGACACGTCAAGTTGTTTGACAGATGATATTGTTCTTGGCGTTTATTTACTTCAACCATGCAGAATGTAGTAAAATGTCTTTAGCTGACAAATGTCACATGGTTTCGAAAATTTTGGCTGAATATGAACAGGTGATAGGATGGCCAGGCGTGTTTGGATGTGGCTTGTTCCTTTTGCTGATCCCAGTGCAGCTGTCATTCACGTCCATGTTCTCCAAATACAGACGACAATCGGCCATGTACGCAGACCAGAGAGTGAAATTGATGCGAGAGGTGATCGAGGGAATTCGGGTGATCAAGATGTACGTTTGGGAGGAGTCCTTTAAGCGACTCATTAAGAAGATCAGACTGCTAGGTACATTTATTGATGAGTTCATTTGCGCTGAATGTTCCCTATTTTTAGTTAGTTTTTATTGACTTAAACAGTCTAGTTATGAAGAAATTTTAATTTCTATTCTAACTTCATATAGAATGCCGGTAGGACTAGCGATACTGCTAATTCCTTTTAAAGTTTCGATGAACATAGTTGAGTTTCTTATATAGGTCGCGATGATTTTTTTTAGGAAAGTCTTAAAATTTGTTCAGGCTCAAAATTTTCGCGGTTTGACTTTTGATTTCTTTTCAAGATTAGTTCATTTCCGTTATTAAAGAGAAGGCAGACTCCAATATCAAACAGCAAACGTGTAAAGGTCACGAAAAACATCTAATTTCGAAAGTGGAATTTAATTTTCAGATTTCTCTGCGAAATAAAAAATTTGCTGATTGATCCAGTTTTCTCAAATTGGATTAATTTTTATCAAAAAGGTGTCGATCATCATTTGTTCTAGAAATTGAAAGAGCTCAAATATTATCGATTTTTGTTATTAAAATACAAAACTTGAGATTTTTTTCATAAAAAGAAGGCAGTTTTTTTTGTATACTTGCGTTCATTAACACTTTTTCCAACTTTTTGTTGGCTAGGTTTTTGAAGATAATCTTACGGGAATATAAATTTTGGGTCACCATGGTGTTAAGGCGTGGGGAGAGAATTCGTCGCAAGCGACAGCTCGTTGCATGCATAAAAAGCGACAATTGCCACCAGGAGATTATTCGTAACAGTCGACGATTAGTAGCCGGCTTAATTGCTAATTGAAAGATGAAATAAAGCAATGCTAATTGCGCGACAAGTTTTGAGATGGCTTTGGGGGATTAAAAACCGACAATCAGATACTAACTATGTGTAGCACCAGTTTTGAACTGAATACCAAATTGAGATGAATTAACAGGTACGATAAGGGTAATAGGAAAGAATTGGCCACTAAAAATCTTTTTTTTTCTTTCGAATTTCACATTTCATATCACGATTGTTATCCTTACCCACGATGCTGTCGAATTTTGTCATCAGCGAGCGCGGCAAACAGCAACTTTTTCATGATGGCGAAACGTTTGAACAACCGCCATAATAACGTCACGAACAAATCCAGGTTGAGCTGCACAAAAAAAGACCCTGAAAAGCTGGTTTTAGCACCATCGAAGACGAAATTATCAACATTACTGGAGACGTTGTCACCTAAATGTTGCATAGGAAAAGTCATAAAGTAAATTAAAAGATAAAGCTCTTGCCAGAACTAAAGTTCGAAAAAATTTAAAATTTTTGAATTTCAATGAAATTCAAACGTTTAAAAGCATAACTGATTGCCCCTTTGTCTACTTTCTTCTGCAAAACAAATGTGAAAGTCAGTACATTCGGATTTTCTGACATTCAAAAGATATTAGTCCGAGTCTTGAATTTTCCCAAATAGTGTAGATTTTGAAAATGCGTCAATTAATTAGCGTCAATCAAAAATTGCTTTTTTCCCTTAGCGCAAGCAAATTGGCGCAACACTCAAGAGCTTTGATTGGCACACTGATAAAGACAAGATAAAAAAGCATGCACAGTCCTGAAATTCTCCGTCGCTCTGGCTCTCATTCCAGAGCTTGATTTCGAAATTGATCGGCGTCAATGCCTACTGAAATGAAATTTGACTGGAAAACAAATCCCCTGTTGGACTTTGTGAATTAGCGCAAGCAAATTGCACAATCCTGAAATCCTTTGTCACTCTGGCTCTCATTCCAGAGCTTGATTTCGAAAGTGACATTGAATTCGATAGTGGCATTAATCCGAGAATGCAAAAATTGGGATACAAAAGACCTACTCAGTTGAAGGTTGATACAGGGCATTTCATATGGGAATAGGGATGTGTTAACCACACGATTCATAAATTCGTTCAATTCTTGATAGAACAAAGCATGTCGGAAAATTAGCTCGGCCTCGTTTTAGCCCGTGAAAAGGCTGCCGTGTTGGCCAGTATGAAAAATCCCGATCTCGGTTAATTTAACTATTAAAGCACTACAAAAACAATAATATTCTAAAACAACCTGATGGCCTTTCTTTCTGTTTTGATTTCTTATTTCTAATTGCCCTTGCGATAAGCTAGGGTATTGCAATCAGGTACTAGACTTTTTTTTACCTGAAATAACTTTAGGCACAGGAATTTCTCTTTTCACCTGGACTGACTACCTGGAAGCTTCTTAGCAACAGATTTACCGCTACAAGTTTTTTGTCTGCATGTAATCATTTCAAATATCAGTCCTGTCGTCGTGTGAAGCTCAGCTCAGCTTCGCCTGTGTGTTCAAATCTTATATCTCCTTTCTTTTGATTTGATCAAAAGTTTTTGCCGCTCCTAATTGTCGCGTGCTATGAATAGTCGCATGGTGTGAATTGTGACTTTTTAAATGCTACGATTTGTCGCTTGGGACGAATCGTCGCTTGGCTGTTGAGGTAATGCGCATTTTTCTAAGCCTTGATTTGGTGCAATTCTGCAAAAGCATTTGTTGTAAGTTGAAAAGTTGTTTAAAGAGTATGAGTTTTCTAACTTTTCTTTGAGCGTAGGCTAAGGGAATCGTAAATTAAGTAACATATCAGTACATGCTGCACTGCAGTTTAAAAAAAGATGATGACACAATTTTTCAAATTCTTATTTCAATGTTTCAGAGGTTAACGAGCTGATCAAAGTCCACATTCTGAACGGATTCAACTACGGCATCAATGCTGGCTCGCCTCAGATTGTAACCATGAGCACAGTTCTAGTCACTCTATACGTACAAAAGGACCACATTCTTCCGGATACTTTGTTTGCATACATGCTGCTCATGGGAGACCTCCGATTTTATGCACAAATGTACACCTTATCTTTGCCATACGTAGCAGAGATCAACATTGCACTGAACAGGATACAGAAACTCGTAGACATAAACGAGGATCCAAACTTTTATAATCCGGCCTCGAAGGACGAGGGGAATGAACAAACGAGGACATCTGCTGGAAGTACGACTGACCCGGGCGCGGACTACGTGCCTGAAGTGGTACTGAATAATGTACATGCCACTCACGACTCCTTCCAAATGGAGGTGACTAACACTTAATGTTGTGGGTGATTGATCGGAGCTTTTATTCAGTTCCTGCGGTTTTTACGTTAAGGGTCTTGAAAGTTTTCCATTTTTATTTTTGCGTCTTGATTAATAAAGTATGACCAAATTCAATGTTTGCGCGTATCTTTGTTTTTTTTTTCATTGTGAAACTGATCTTGGTGATTGTGGCAAAAATGGCTTTTCAAAAAATTGAAGAACGAAGAACATTTTTTTAGAACAAAAAAAGTCATATTGATACTTTTCTCCCATTTAAAAATTAAATGAGCTTGGATATAATACAATTGGATGTTAATATTGTTCTCTCTTTGCATCTATATTGATAAAGGTCATGGTTGTTCAACGAAATCAACCATGATCTATGTTAATAAAGATCATAGTTGTTCAACGGAATTAGTTAAAGTTCGTAAGGCGGACGTAAAAATCAGTGGTAGTTTTGATCGCTTGCTTCCATGTGTTTAGACGAACACGGGATTTGATCTTCAAGATGTGACCTTCACTGCTGAGCCCGCTGAGTTGATCATGGTCGTCGGTGCGACTGGAAGTGGCAAAGTATGAATTGGGCAATTTTCTTTTACAGTTTGTAGTAGCGTGCCGAGGGGTACGCCCTCCCATTAATTTTCGTTGCCTTAAAGTTTCAAATGGTTTTCTTCGATTTTTTTTGCTTGCGATTAGCAAGCGTTAACAACTCGGAATATAGATTTTTTCGGGTTAACAAATTGTTTAACAGGATCATTTGATAACTTTGTTCCTAATGAATTCAACTTTCTTAGCGTCTACACCCACTTATCCTGGAGGTAACGAATACGCCTGGGTCGGCAAAGTTACCAGATTTGACTAGCACCTTTTTTTTTTTCAAACAAGAAATGTTCAGTTTCATAAAAAAAACTGTCGGCCGTTTATTTGTTGGCTTAGTTGTCACAATTTAGACTTGTTTTTTTTTAAACTACTCAATTTTGACAGCTTTTTTGTGTTTGATTTTTTCCTGCAATTGTAATTTAACTGAACCTGATTTTGCTTAAAATTATAATTCGGCCCAAATTATTTCGGCCTATTCATTATCGGCTGAGTAACCTTATTTTGTGTTGTTTCAAGGGAAACATTTCTTAATGCTCCTCTCCGGATCACACAAAATGCTTAAAGTCGGAATATAGAGTATAGAATTTGTATTTCAAAGTATGTCATGACAACAATTTTGTTTTCGTCTCTTCGGGAAGTTTTTTCGGCTCAGTTGCTGCTTGTTTTTTTTCGAAAAATTTTTAAACGCCGTCGTTTCGCAAATTGCGTTTTTCGCAAATAAAACATTTTTCCAGACAACGTTTTTTATTTTGCTTAGGATTGTTTTTTTTGGAAGTTTCTTTTCCTGTCTGCTAGCTTGCAATGCTATTTTGTTGTATCGCAAGTGAAGCGAAGCTCCTGCTTCGTCTCTGTATACGACAGTCAATCATTTCAAGGCGAATGACCCAAAAATGTTGTAAAGCGCCGTGGATCCCAATATTCAATTGTATTGCGTGTGGAGCGCCCGCCTTAAAACGCAATTTTGGTCCCGAAAACGTCGTTCTTAGCGTTTTGTCTAATCAAAATATTGCCTGTAATGCTTATATGTCTACGAAAGATAGGCTCTTTTTTTCCCCACCTACGATTTTTTGTTCACATCGTCCGATTGTTACAAAAATTGGCATGCCGAAATTTTAGGTCATGAGAAACATATTTGGTCTTCATATTTACAATGTAAAACTCCTCGATATATTATGAATTTGATGCTTATGTGAAGTAGGGAAGGAAAAAGCTTACGTTTGTTCTGCCTAGGTTTTCAGCAGTGCGTGAAATAGCTGGCATAAAAAGAGGACTAAATTCTTGAGCAGGTCTCTGCAGTTTTGCCAATATTTTTGCAGATTGTTTTTAACAGAAACTCAAAACAACGGAAGGGGATTATTGCACCTTTTATCATCGCATTGCAACTTGCTTCTCTTCGTAAAACAGTGCTGATTTAACATTATCATGACGAATTGAATGAAACCTGAAAACTGATATGCGTTTTTCTCAAATTTTGTTGACATAAGCAGAAAATGATGACAAAGTTTTCTTAGATTTTAAAAGACATTATTTTAGCGCAGTTCATATTGCGCAATTTTGGTCCCAAATTTTATACCTAAACTGGATCGACAAAGACATATCAAAGTGAGCCTCCTGCGTAGCCCAACAAAGGTTAAGAAGGGTGCAATCTTTAAAAGGGATAAATAAATGTAGTTTTGTTTGATAGCCAAAAAATGTTATTTTTAAGGTATAAAACACCATTTTTTTTTAAAAAACACCAAAAGCATAATATTTTGAAGATAACGCACTTCTCAAATTTCGTCGCATTGCAACTTGCAATTTTGGGTTTGAAAAAGCCAAAGAACTATCCTTTTTTGATGGAGAGTTTGTGGCAATAGTTTCCTGAATTAAATTGCACCATATTCCCGCTAAAATTCTAAACAAGTCTTGTCTATCAGTTTTTGGCTAAAGTTGACCCAATTTGAGAACAACACTTCTTACATTTATCCAAAAATTGAATTCAGCCCTGTAGTCATTAGAAGTAGTAGTAGTCGAAAAAGACTTTAAATTGCTTTACACAATTATCAATATAAAATCAAGTTATTTTAAGTAAAAAATTGAAGTATAAATACTAATAAGCAGCAGCAAGAACAGAAAAATTATCTGTCGGAGGAGTTTCTGTCATAATTGTTGATCAGCCAATTCTTGAAAAACTATTTTTGCTGTGGTTTGAAAGCTTTCGGAGGCGTCACAAGAGTGTTAAATGAACTAACTTTGTGCTAGTGATTTGCTATTCGTACAATCCGGTTGAAATTAAGGAATCGACTTTCTTTCGTTTTTGGAATGGTCGATCGGTTATCCGTCTCTGCGTCAAGAATTTGGTGTACATTGTAGAGATAAAACCATCCAAACATCCAAATTATAGTTTTCGTGTGATAATTTATTGAGGAATAACAAGTCTTTTACTTGCAGTTGAAAGGAAATTTGTAATAAAGTACAATTAAGTAGTCAATCTTTGTACGAATCCCCATTTGAAAATAATTTCGTTGCTCTTGCTTGGAATGTCTTCAATATCATAAGGTCAGTGATTGACGGATGCCATACTTCTGATGAAAATAGAAGAATAGATAAATTATAGGTTTTATACAACTTTTGACCCGTAAAATAAGATGTTCCAGAAGGAATGGTTCGTGTAAGATTTAAAAGTGCCATACGCGATATCCAAATTTTTAACAATATGATTATTTCAGCTAAGGCCATTTGTCAATGTCACGCCAATGACTTTAACTGAAGGAATAGTTTTTATTTCCTCTCCTCGGAATCTTAATGTATCTTCATCCTTGCAGAACTGCTTGTTAAAAATAACGTACTGTGTTTGGCCACTATTAAAAACCATTTCCTTGGCCAGCCCGCCTTCGATGCATCTGTATAAATTACACTGAAATGTAGCCAGATTAGAGTTTTTTTGTTATACTATCGTCAGCGAAAAGAAAGATGGCAAATTTTGCTCAAAATTTAGGCTGTCATTAGTAAATATGATGAACAAAAATTGCCCCACGATTGAATCTTCTGGTATATCTGAGATATTTGGAAGAAAATTTGAACGCGAGTGTATAATTCCGATGCATTGATGTCGATAACTCAAGTAAAATGACTATAGTTTCATCAGTTTTCGGGCGATGCCAAAATTGAATCAATTTTGAAGTAAAATAGCCAATTCGTAGAATTGAGTAAATGTGATCCATTCAAGGACTAAAGCCATTTTAGGCAAAATGGTGACAGACAGGTACGGTAGCTTTCGATATCAAGTTTATCTTCCGTCTTGAATATAGACGTAATATAGGAATTTTTCCATATAAGAGGAAAATTTGCTCTTGCCATCTAGTAATATGAGAAAGAGAATCAGATAATTCGCATAGATTTATCATGGGCTGCTGTACTAGGAGGAAGTTTTAAAACAAGTTTTGTTTGTATCAGTTTTTGGCTAAAGTGGACCCAATTTGAGACGAACACTTCTTTTATTTACCCAGAAGTCGAATTCAGCCCTGTAGTCAGTAGAAGTAGTAGTAGAAAAAGAGTTTATATTGCTTTACAGATTTATGAATAAAAAATAAAATTATTTTAAGGAAAAAATTGAAGTATAAATACTATTTAGCAGCAGCAAGAACAGAAAAATTATCTGTCGGAGGATTTCTGTCATAATTGTTGATCAACCACTTCTTGGAAAACAATTTTTGGCGTGGTTTGAAAGCACTCGGAGGCGTCGCAAGAGTGTTAAATGAACCAACTTTGTGCAAGTGATTTGCTATTCTTACAATCCGATTAAAATTAAGGAATCAACTTTCTTTCGTTTTTGGAATGGGCGATCGATTATCCGTCTCTGCGTCAATAATTTAATGTATATTGGAGAGATAAAACCATCCGAACATCAAAATTATAGTTTTCGTGTAATAATTTATTGTGGATTAACAAGTCTTTTTCTTGCAGTTGGAGTGAAATTGGTAATAAAAAAAAGTATTCAATCTTTGTACGAATCCCCCATTTGAAAATAATTTCGTTGCTCGGGCTTGAAATGTCTCCAATATCATAAGGTCAGTGATTGACGGATGCATACTTCTGATGAAAATAGAAAAGATAAATTATAGGTTGTATACAACTTTTTACCCCTAAAATAAGATGTTCCAGAAAGAATGGTTCGTTTAAGATTTAAAAGTGCCATATGCGATAACCAAATTTTTCACAATATGATTATTTCAGCTAAGGTCATTGTCACGCCAATGACTTTAACTGAAGGAATAGTTTTTATTTCCTGCCCTCGGAATCTTAATGTATCTTCATCCTTGCAGAACTGCTTGTTGAAAAAAACGTACTGTGTTTGGCCACTTAAAAACCATTTCCTTGTCCAGCCCGCCTTCGACGCATCCGTTTAAATTGCACTGAAATGTAGCCAGATTCAAATTTTTTGTTATGCTATTACAAGCGAAAAGAAACATGGCAGATTTTGCTCAAAATTTAGGCAAGAAACTAGTAAATATGATGAACAAAAGTTGCCTCAAGATTGAATCTTGAGGTGTACCTGAGATATTTGAAAGAAAATTAGAATGCGAATTTATAATTCCGATGCATTGATGTCGATAACTCAAATAAAATGACAATTGTTTTATCAGTTCTCGGGCGATGCCAAAATTGAATCAATTTTGAAATAATAAAGCAAGTTCGTAGAATTGAGTAAATATGATCTTTTCCAGGACTAAAGCCATTTTAGGCAAAATAGTGACCGACAGGTACGGTAGCATTCGATATCGAGTTTATCTTCCGTCTTGAATATGGGCGTAATATAGGAATTTTTCCATATAAGAGGAAAATTTGCTCTAATGCCATCTAGTAATATGAGAAAGAAAATCAGATAATTCGCATAGAATTATCATGGGCTGCTGTACTATGAGGAAGTTTTGTCTGTTTCAGTTTTTGGCTAAAGTGGACCCAAATTGAGAAGAACACTTCTTATATTTATC